GAATTCCGAGGGTGACTCAGGTTCCTTCTGGAGACCCTGGAAGAGCTGATGTTGCACTGTGGTCTGGGGCAGGAGACCACTGTCTCCGCTGAGCGTCGGGCACAGGAGTCCTGTGGATGAGTGGTCGAGGAGGTCCCACTGTGGACAGCGGTCGGCGGACACAGACGCTCCTCTGCCCAGGCCACCCTCGCAGGCCTGTGTGGAGGATACTGGGCCGCAGACACGGAGGGTCCTGTCATGTTGACACCCAGGCCATCCTCATGAGCCTGAAGACTTGCTATGTTTACAAATATTTTCTTACTGCCTATGATTTGCTTTTTCATAACCTTATTTTCTTTTATAGTTCAGAAAACGCTTATGTGCACATTAACACCTATATATGAATACTTAGAAGATAGAATAGAATTTAAATATATCAACTTCATTTAGCAAACATACCACTATTAAATTATAGATATATGACAGAGAATGTCAGGTATCTACTTTATACCAGGAAGCAGTTTACTTCCTGATAGTGTTGAAAATAAGTGACTGCAGCAGAGTGCTGGGTTTACTCTCCTGTTTGGGCTGGCTCAGTCACCCCGATGGTGGGACCGGCCCTGCGCGCGGTGCTTGGGTCGAGCCGCAGTCCCCAGCACCTGCCTGCGCTTGCCTAAGCAGACACCTTAGCCTGCTGAGCTATCTCGCTGGCCCCACGGCGTTCTCTCAGACAGAGTAGAGATGATGTTTTACATGCTGGTTGCCACAGTAGCTCTGGAAGCGACGCGAGTGCTGTTGGGATGTCATCAAGGCACGGTGTCCGTGTTGGCAAGCGCCGTCTTGAGGGTCCTCAGAATGCTGTAAGAAATTAAATGGCCGGGCATCATGGCATATGCCTATAGTCCCAGCACTCTGGGAGGCTGAGGCAGGAAGATTGCAAATTACATCTCAACCTGGGCAACTTAGTGAAACTCTATACCAAAAATAAATAAAATTTTATGAAAGTCTGAGGAGTGAGAAGGTAGGTTAGTGTGAAGGCCCTGGGTTGAATCCCTAGTATCCAAACCAGCCAACCAAACAACAAAAACAAAACAAAAAACAAGGGCTGGCCAAATAACTCAGTGGATTAAAGCACCTGCTGAGGCAGACACAGGGGCCCGGGGTTCAATCCCTGGGCCTGCTGTGCTGCCCCTCCACCCCCCAGGGCATGCTGAGACAGGGATTGAGACTGGGTGTGGTGGCACATGCCTATAATCCTAGTACTTGGGAGGCTGAAAACAGGAGCATCTCTGTGAGTCTGATCTACGTAGCGAGACCCTGGAGACCCTGTACTAAATACAAAATGCAAACAACAAAAAGATAGAGAAGGAAATGAAATGCGTACCCATCCCTCCTCCCAGGCACTGCAGGACTGGCCTGCAGAAGGGTCACCTGACCTTGGAACGTGTTGTCTTTTTATCTGCTGCCAGCCTCATGGGCAAGTCAGACCTTGTCCATAACCATTTATTAAAACAGGGAAAAACCTATTCTTCATTTATTTATTTTGTTTTCTGCTTACAGTTCTTTTTCTTTAAATCTATTTATTTTATTTTTAATGACTATGAAATAGTGATAGTGAAGAAGGCATTAGAAATGATACAAGATTTCATTAAACAAAGTAATAGGAATTCAACAGTGCTTGCTGTGTTACATGATGCTATCTTCAGATTAGTTTTCGGAGCACCAGATATGGAGGTATAAGATTTGTTTGAAGAAAACATAAAACAAAACAATAACTAAGAAGGTATGAGAAATTCTAAAGAGGAAAAATCAGAGTAAAAAGAAAATGTAAGCATTAGCTGCTGCTTTCAAAAGGAGAGCGTTACACTTGGCCACACTATTCTGCGTATATACCTGAGTCCATCTTTGCCCTTCTTCCGTCTGTCCTTCCCCTCATCCCAGTTTCTCCTTCACTGGAACGATTTCTTTCCCTTTCACAGTGTCTGTTGTGTCTTTTAGATTGTCATCGCTCTTGCCGGTTCTCACACCAGTGAGATGATACAATGTCTGCGCGCGTGGATCGGAGTTATTTCACTTGCCGTGTAGTCTCTAGCTGCTTGCATCTTTAAATCTGTTTTTATTTACGACGTGGACACACGGAATTGCACGCATTTCTCTTGCACCCCATGACGTGCTGAGGCCGGCACACGTCACGCCGTGGTCCACTCTGGCTGCTCTCTGAGTGCGCGGCTCATGTGGCGAGCGCTACGTGGGAGAACACGTGCCATGTGCCGTGAGCGTTTTTGCCTCGCAGGCTCTCTTCGCTAACTGTGGTCTCCGAGCTGTAATTCAGTCCTGGAGCTGTCCTCCTCTCTAGCTTTCGTGAGGGGCTCCGGCTCCCAGCTTCCTGTGCCACGGAACCACGCCAGCCTCTTGTCGTCTCCATCTCCTCTTGACTTCTGTGAGAGCTGCTCTGTGGGGTGCACATGCGTGTGAGACCGTGTGGCATCTGTCCTGTGCACCGCTGATTTCTCCTAACAGAGCATCCTCCAGGCTCATCCATGGAGTTGCAAGTGTCAAGTTTTCCTTCTTGCTATGATTGGATGATTTTCTGCTAAGTCTCTGCAGGGGCCCATTGGGTACTTCGGGGCATGTTGTTCAATCTCCATCTGTGTGTGAACTTTCTGAAGTCCCTCCTGAGGCCAGGCATGTGGCACACACCTGTAATCCCAGCCCTCGGGAGGCTGAGGCGGGAGGATCAGTGTGAGTTCAAGGCCAGCCTGGGCTACACAGCGAGACTGTCTCAAAAAGAAAAAGAAAGTTCTTCCTGTAGTTCATTTAGGGTTTTAATTCATTGTGGTCAGAAAAGACACTCAATAGGATTTTTTTTTTTTTTTTTTTTTTTTTTTTTTTGTGGAACTGGGGATTGAACTCAGGCCCTTGCGCTTGCCAGGCAAGCACTTATTCTACTGAGCTGTCTTCCCGGCCCCACTCGATAGGATTTTGGTCTTATATTTGTTAAACTTGTTTTGCAGCCCAGCATACAATGTTGCCTAGGCAATGTTCCCTGTACAGTGGAGAAAATTTGTATTCTGCAGTTGTTGGATGGGACATTCTATATGAATTCTGTATGTGTGCAAGGCTCATTTGGTCTGGAGTGTGATTCAATTCTGTGACTTCCTTGTTGATTTTCCTCCCTGGATGTGCCCTGTAGTGCTACAAGTCAGGCCCTGAGGTCTCCTGTGGTCACTTCCTGCAGTCTGTCCTTCCCATCAGGACTCTGATAATTTGCTTTGTGTATTTAAGTTCTCTAATGCTGATTGCAAATATGTACTTGGTTATTCCATCTCCTGCTGTATTAACTTCCTCCACCTTTACAGGTTTGACCTGGGGTCTGTTTCTTCTGTTCTGGGCTGTCTCGGTTTCCACCTGCACGGCGCCTCTTTCCCACCCCTTCACGGCCAACTGCTGTGTGCTCCTGGAGGAGCAGTCAGTCAGCCTCACTTCCCTCCCCACATTCTCTCCTCTCAGTGCTAAATCTCTTAGAGGAACTACACCGTTTAATGTTATTCTTTTTTTTACCCATTGAACAATGAACTGTTTATTGGCAAACTCAATCCATTTGCCTTCAAAGTAGCTATTATGTGGGCTGCTGAAGTGAACACTCAAAGCCATCATCGTTAGGGACCAACTTTTTGTTTTCTAGTTCTTTTCCTGGCCACTTCCTCTCTTACTCTTTCTTTGCGATCAGATGATTTTTCTTTAGTGGCCTATTTTGATTCCTTGGTTTTTATTCTCAGGGTATCTGTGATAAGTTTTTTTCCTTGTGGTTACCTTTAGGATTATAAAAAGTATTTTAGAGTTATAGTAAGTTCTCTTAGGCCAAAAGCATCTTAATTTTGATTGTAAAAAACCTTTGAGCTTTTATTTCACTTGCCCCTGCATTTTGAATGTTGAATTTTACATCTTTCTTGCCACATGCCTCTTATTGTAGTTGTTACTTTTGTTTCAATCTTTCAACCTTCCTACTAATGGTGAGGGTGGTCCCCCCTCCTACTAATGGTGTATGTGGTCCCCCTCCTACTAATGGTGTATGTGGCCCCCCTCCTACTAATGGTGTATGTGGTCCCCCTCCTACTAATGGTGTACGTGGCCCCCCCACTAATGGTGTACGTGGCTCCCCCTCCTACTAATGGTGTACGTGGCCCCCCTCCTACTAATGGTGTACGTGGCCCCCCACTAATGGTGTACGTGGCTCCCCCCTCCTACTAATGGTGTACATGGCCCCCCTCCTACTAATGGTGTACGTGCCCCCCCCCTTGCCCTTTCACAGAATCCTGCGCCTGACAGCAAGGCTTGGACTTGGTGTCACTCATTATCACTGTTATTTCTTCAGGTTGGAGAACACTTTGAGCATTTCCTTTAAGGCAGGTCTGGTAGGGATGAACACGCCCAGGTTTTGTTTGTGTGGGAACATTTTTACCTTTTAGTTCTTATTATTTTCTTTGGAGACAAGATCTGACTTTGTAGTGCAGGCTGGCCTTAAATTCACTGTGTAGTCCAGGTTAGTCTTGAACTCACTGTGATCCTCCTGCCTCAGCCTCCCAAGTTTTGGGTGAATTATAGGTGTGTGCTACCACACCTGGCTAGCTTTCATTTCTGAGGGACAGTTTTGCTAGGAACGGTGTTCTTGGTTGGGGCAGAGTCTTGCTTTATTTTCCTTCAACACATGGAAAATCACTCAGCTTCTCTTGCTCTGTGAGAATTTGCCCTGAGAAGTCTCCCGTGGGGCCTGTTGGAGCTCCTTTGTATGTTATTTGCTGCGGCCTAGGACTGCTGCAGTGCCCAGTGCCTGGCCACCAGGGCTAGTGCAGGAAGAGGTGTCTCTGCAGCCTGTGGCCACTGAGGCTTGCTGACTTCCGAGGCTCGTCTGGAGCCAAGTCGTCTGTGGGGGTCGGCAGACACCAGGCCCACTGTGCAGGAGTGTGGCTTCCTGTCTGGCACTAGCGGGGGTCACGAGGCTCAGTCTGCAGATGCCAGCTGGGTGTCTGCCTGGTGCTGGAGCTACTGTGGCAGAACTGGTACTGGGGGCCAGGGCGACGCTTGGTGGCTTTCCTGTCTAGAGATGGCCTCTGTCTCCAAGGTTTGCTTCCTGGGGTTTAGCAAGCAATATGATTGGGTGAAGCCATCCCTCCTTCCACCGCCCATGTGTCTGAGCTTGGTTTTCTTAGCTCTTAGGAGGATTTTCATGTTTGGAGGCTTGTCCCAACTGATGTTTCGGCAGGGTGACTGTCACTGGCATGTCCTCGGGCCCTGTGACTCTGCGCTGCCCCGTGGTAGGCCACTTTTGGGCCTGTTCTTCTCACATGTCTCACCATGTTCTGGCAATGTTCTGAGTTTAAAAATTTGAGTCATCTAATTTAGTGTGTATTTCAAAGTTTTGGAATTCAGGCCAGGCAACCTTTACCAAAGCCTGTTTTATCTGGTGACTGTCACCCACGTGTCAGCCAGCTCTGGGTGTCTGTCTCAGAGTGCCAGGACACAGGTGTCCTTTATGCACCCCCACGGGGCTCCCTGGTAGTACTGTCCTCCACCTTGTGGCTGTCTTGGTCCTTCCAGGAAATGCCCAGGATATCTCCATTCAGAGATGTCACGAAAACCCTATCACTGGGGTTATCGAGAAGAAATAATTCATTCTCTTTTATATTCTTCATCTAAGTTTATTGTATGTATTTATGAGAACCACACATTATCTTGTAGGTTCTCTGGTTTTTATTAGGTTCTACTTAGCTTCCTACTGGCTTGTTGAAAGCTTCCTAGTTTAGTCAAGCCTTATGCATCAGACAAGCCCACAGAATGCTGGTGGCTGATAGCGTGTGGTGCGGGGCACAGTGCTGAGCCTTTCACTGTGTGGGAGTCACTCTGTGGGAAAGACGGACCACGTGCCGGCGGGGGGGGGGGTTGCACAGACAGATGAGACTCGTGCTTGGTTACGCTGTTCACCCAGCGCCACGCGTGTGGGGTTCAACGTTCTCCTTAGCTTTCAGCCCTTTGAGGATGTCAGGCTGGTTTCAGTTCAGCTCAGTCTTCCCTATGCCGCTAGGAAACATGTTTGGTGTTTTTTTTTCTTAAGTTAGGAATGCTGCATATACATTTTTCTTTTTAAACAAAACACAATTCTGTTGTTATAGCTGTTCTGAATTCAGAGGCATGTGTTAGGAGGACGGAGGCAAAGAGGCGTGACACGATGGCGATGCTTTGTGAGGCTGTGAGAGGCCGTGGTCACCGCTGAGAGGAGAAGAATGTAGTTCATGTTAATAACGCCTCATTTTTATTCTTGCTCGTCCGGGTCTGCAGGACCCGAAGACCACTCCGACGGTGGGGACGCGGTGCGCGGGCCGCCGCATCTGAGCTCTATCCCTTGGCCTTCTCCCCGCCCTCCCTGCTGCCCCTTGGTTCACTTCTCCTTCTGCAGAAGTTCTGTCTGTACACATATTAATTTGTTTGTGTAGAAAGGGATAGAAACTAAGTTATGAACAGTTATTTATGCATTGCTTGAATATTTTTACTTGGTTTTTTAAATTAAAAATGTGTTTCTGAGCTGGGCATGTGGGTTAGTACCAGCAGTCCCAGCACTCCAGGGGTTGAGGCAGGAGGATCGCAAGTTATAGCCTAGTCTAGGGCCACTTTGTGGCTTGGAAATGCCCTGTCTCAAAATAAAAATCAAAAAGGGCTAGGGATGGGGCACAGACAGGTGGCCTGGGCTTAGTCCCCACTACTGAAAAACATCATGAATTGCATCTTAAACATTTCTGCTTTGTTCTTTTTTTTTTTTTTTTTTTCCAGAACTGGGGATTGAACTCAGGCCCTTGTGCCTGCCAGGGAAGCGTTTATTTCACTGAGCCGTCTCCCAGGCCCTGCTTTGTTCTGTTTTAACAGGCTGTGCTTTGCTGTAGTTAGGGCCCACCCGTGGGCACTCTCTGGCCTTGCACAGGGTCGCATAGCATCATGTAGTAGTGACAGGGCTGTGCCCAACACAGCCGACCCCCGTGCCACTTGCCTGCCCCACCATGACGCGCTCCTCTTTTGGCAGTTTCGCTCTTTCCTGGGTGTCCTGTGGTTGCAATCACACAGTGTGTGGCCTGCTCAGCTGACTTGTGGCTCTTCATAATGTGCGTTTAAGTTCCTCCATGTCTTCTCATACCTCTTTTCTGTTTGGAACTGAGTGATATTCCTCCATCTCAAAGTACTGCAGCTCACTTAGCCGTTCGTGGGCAGCAGGCCCTCCTGCTCAGGCCCTCCTGGTCAGTTGTCTCCTTACATGTTTGCCTTTCCCGGAATTCTTCAAAATGCCCACACCATGCACATTCACACAGAATCCCCAGAGTTCTTACTCTGTAGTAGTGTGTACCTAGGGCAACAGGGCTGTAGGGTTATTTGTACAAATCAATCACACAGCGCTAATGGTTTTATTATTTTCAAGCAGTTATTTAGAGATATGCTTAATATTCGAAGATTTTGTTTTGTACGGAGCTGTAAAAGTGTTCATGACCTTTTGTCTGAAAAGTGATGCTGCCCAGCTGCTGTTCCCTGGGAAGAGCTGGGTGGGTGCGGCTCCTGGGAGCGCGGTTAGGGCCTGTTTGTACTACGTGGCCTCCGGAGGATGTGGCCCAGCTGCCTCAGGCCCGGACAGACCTCCAGAGGCCTCGCGGTAAAGGCGCCGCTAGCATCCTGCTGTTGCTGTCTGTGCTGAGCAGGAGGCGCGCCTCGTGTTTGCTTAGACAAATGCACACGCACATCTTGCTCATTCATGCCAGAAGTTAGAATATTCTATTCAAAAGGCAACTAGAGTATGTACTGTTAACTTTTTTTGTGAAAATATAGATATAAGACGTTAGATAATTAAGGAAAAACGATGTATACATTTCCAAAGCGAGTGCCCGAGAGCACAGTTGTTTCAGTACACAAATGTGGTCTCTCTGGAATGACACCTGGTCACCTGGCCCAGAGTGGCTGCTCATGGGCCACTCTGGAAGTTAGGTGACTGTCACTGAGTCCTCAGTGGCTGGCCCGCACTCCTTTCTGCTGCCATTCTTGGGCAAAATGATTGCTTGTCTTATGTGCATCTTTTTCATGTCCTACCAGAATTTCTTTACGTGATGGCCGCGTTTAACCCGGCATATCCGGTCACACCTTGGGGATTTACACTATCGTGCCTGCCAGCAAATAAAACCGAGGATCCAGCCTCCTCTGTCCCCGGAGTGTCCAGCAACGCTTCGAGCCTGAGCGGAGGCACCGAGGCAGCCGCCGAAGGCAGACTTAACTCCAGCGGCTTCCACGTTGCCCATCTGTCCCCAGCAGCTTCCCACTGTTGCTTCTGGAGCGAGCAGGGTACAAGCTGCCCCGTGCGTGTAGGCGTCGCGGAGGGGGAGACACTTGTGTCCACGGTGGAGTCTCCTGTTTCCCAGCAACTGGGTAGGTAATTTAATGCTCAGTGGCCAAGCGGTAAGTGTTAAGCTGTAACTATACCGAACCAAGTGTTTTAATTTTCCGAATACATGCAATAGGTGCCTTATGGATGTGATCATTAATGTGCATTGACATTGTAATAGCAATAATAAAATTAGGGTTCATCACGTGACAACATCAGTAATAGGCCTCCCATAGAACATCCCATAGAAAGTAAAAAGGGAACTCTTTTTGATTTCAAAAATCTGAAACTTGAGATTCCAGTCGACCTGGCTTTTCCCCTTCTGGATGTC